GTGCCTGAGTCCCTGTCTGTGGCGCTGACGCTGCCGATGTGCAGGGCGGGGCTGTTGTTCTCTGGGACGAACAGGGTGTAGGAGGTTTGGGTGAAGGCGGGGGCGTTGTCATTGACGTCGGAGACCAGCACGGTTATGTTTTGCTCGGTTTTCATCCTGGGAGTCCCCAAATCGTTGACTGTGATGGTGATGTTATACTCGGCTCTAATCTCTCTGTCTAGCGCCCCTTCTGTTACCAGCCTGTAGAAATTTTCAACTGAAGGTTTCAGCGTAAATGGAACATTGTCCTGAATTGAGCAAACCATTTTTCCGTTTTCCCCGGAGTCTCGGTCTCGAATCCTAAACAGAGCCACTTCTGTCTCAGGGGAGTTTTCTGGAATAGGGCTGGTAAGTGATGAAATGGTTAATTCTGGGGCATTATCGTTAACATCTAGCACCTTAATAGAGACCGAGCATTTTCCAGAAAGTCCCCCGCCATCGGATGCCTCTATATCTAGCTCATATGAGGATATTGTCTCAAAATCTAGTTTTTTAATTAGTCGAATTTCCCCTGAAAGGCTGCTTACTTCAAAAGTTTTGCTTATCTCCTGAGAACTATAAAAAAGAGAGTATGAAATCTCTCCATTTGTCCCGGTGTCTAAATCCCTAGCAGAGACCTTGGCAACTAGGGAGCCTACCGGGCTGTTCTCTGGGACCTGCACCTCGTAGAGCGCCTGCGCAAACTCCGGGGCATTGTCATTGACGTCCACGACCAAGATGCGGATCTGGGAGGTGCCTGAGCGCGGTGGAGAGCCACCATCCAGCGCTGTCAGGGTTAATCTGAGCTCTGCCTGCTGCTCACGATCCAGTTCTTTGTCTAGCACCAGCTCTGGGTATTTGGAGCCATCCCCCCGGGTGCGAGTGGAAACATGGAAATAAGAGTTGAGACCAATATTGTAGTTTTGAATGTTGTTGTTGCCCACATCCAAGTCCTGAGCCTTTTTCAGAGGAAACACGCTTCCAGGAGGGCTAGTCTCTAGGATTTTCAGAACCATTTCTCTTTCAGAAAATTCAGGAGAGTGATCGTTTATGTCTCTCACCAGTAGCTCAGCTCGAAATACTTCCAAAGGTTTTTTCAGTAACACTTGGAAATGCATTACACAGGGCTCAGTGGGGCCGCACAGCTCCTCCCGGTCCAGTTTCTCACTTAGTATCAACTCCCCGGTCTGCAGATCAAGCTGCAAGCGTGGTTCGTTATCCTCAGAGACCACCCGGGCTCCCCGCGCAGATAGCTCCCCCACTCCCAACCCTAGGTCCTTGGCCAGGTTGGCCACAAAAGAGCGGCTCTCTGTTTCCTCCATCACAGAATAGCGACGGGGTTCCCAGCCTGCCATAGCCACTCCCAGTAAAAGAAGGAGAATCAGGACTTGCCTTTGTTTAGGAAAGCACTCCCCTCTGGCCTCCATCTTTCCTTCTGCACACGCCTTTTTAGGAACGGGGTCGAGAACTATCTCAGGGAGTGATGGGACTGACACAGTGATAGATCTCTCAGTTGACAAACTGTCCGGAAAGGCAGGTGAGTAACATTCTCTAGAGACTGACTGGTCCGAGCTCTGCTTACAGGCTTTTCTCTTCAGCTGAAAGAGGTCTGAAGTAAGTAGTTCCGAGCATTTAATGGGTTCTCTTTTGAAGCCTTAGCCTGCAGCGCCACCATGCGTTGTCTTTACTTCAAAACGAATTGCTACAATTGTTCTATTCTCTCATCTATTCTAAAGAGTTTGGAAATTGGGGGAGATAATGTAATCACAAAGTCATGTAATTATAATTTTCATTCCTTTATTCAAAGAAGTGTTATTGATCTCTATGTGCCAGGCTCTGAAATACGTCAGTAAACAACCTAGACATGGTCCCCAGCGTCTATTGTCTGTAGTCTGGGTGGGGTGCTCAGAGGGAAACTGAGAAGTGAAAGAAGACATAAAAGTGATCAATCATCTTGCAGAAACTAATAACATATAGCCATGTGATTTCTTAAAATTCTCTCTGCAAAAAAGAACTAATTCCTCTATATTTCTTTCAAATTCTAGGCAGTCTACGTACTAGAATTGTGGCCCCTATTGGTCGAATTACATCAAGGAAAAAGCAACAAGTTCATTCCAATGTGGTATCCTCTCTACATAAAGTCAGAGAGTTTCGATTTTATGAAACTTTCAAACTGTGGGAAAATGCGTGAGGGCACTTCCTATATGTCTGATCCTGTTTTTTCGCCCTAGCATTTATTACCATCTGACATAGTATAGATGTACATACTTGTTTCTCTTCTGTGTCACACCTGAGTGTTTGTTTTGTTCACTGCTGCATATCCAACATCTAAAATAATCCCTGGCACAGAGTAGATAGTCAACAAATATTTCTTGAATAGATCCATTAATAAATCCAAATTAATTTAATAACTTCTGACATGGAGGTTCTCCTCCTACACAGAAGTCCCCTCTTTTGCTGGGATCCCAGTTTTTTATGTAACCTGGATAAACGAGACAGCATATTCTCAAGTAGCTATTTTCTATGCTCTTTTGAATTTGAAATAGCTCAGAATGATCTAAAATGTCCTTTAATTAATGGCAAAATACCCTGGCTCCCCCTAAGCAAAAGGATATATTATAAAAAGAAAGAACAAAGCAACCAGCTTATGGTGATCCTAAAAATAAGGAATACATCTCTTGTAGACACACATTTTACATTGTCAATGTTATTTTATACTAATGCTATTATGATACTAATGATATTCAAACTATTTCTTATATAGTAAAATTTTCTTAGAATTTGTACTAAACACTGCAAAGCCTGTACCATTGGAAAGACCTTTCAATTCTTCTCAAAACTGTATATTCTAACAAAATCTTCTGCATGTCCCTTACAAACTATTAATATTTTACAACCTTTTTGATTCCTGATTATATTAATATGAAAAGCCACAATAAAAACTCAAATTAATAGTAAGGAAGGTCTAACTTACTAACCAAGAATATCTAACATGCTTTTGACAACAACAAAAAAACTCACTTAGCTATCTTAATTAGAGGGAAATTTATTAACAGAGCACATATTTGTCTCTAAAAACCCGAGGAGAAAGCAGACTTGGGAAGGACTGGAAGATCTACAACAGGAAAATTTACAATAAGGTCACTCTTTTGGCATCTCCTTTTTTTCTTGTCTCTCTTGGTAGATAGACTTTCTGTACTTCTTTCCATATATTTAGCCAAACATGACACCACTTTCTTGTTAAGTTCCTAACAGAGAGACTATATCTGGTTTCTAAAGCTATTTTCTTAAATAGAGAGAATCAGATTGGACCAACTTGGATGAGAAATATTTAATTGTCTAAAATCAGAGAGACAGAGACAGAGAGAGATGGGTCATATAAAATGAATCTGGCCGCAACAGTACACCTCTGCTAACGACAGGAGAAGTTTCCAGAAAAAGATGAAGTGGGCTAGACAGACACTAGAAAAGGGATCTATTGTTTAAAAATCTTAAAATAATCTAATAGTCATTCAATGATACTCATATATATTTTATACTGAAGATTGTTACAAAGAGCACAAAAATCTTTAAGTCTGGGAGAAACTGCAGGCTTTCCCATTTAATATTATTGTGAAACAAAAGCATGCAATTTTTGCAGACATTTCTCCATTGAAACTTCTACACAGGTAAGCGTCATATCAAATTAAACAGAAGGTATACTAATAGCTCATTATATTTATTATCATCTTTGTCTTCTAAGCATCAAAAATATAGAAAAAAATTCTGGACAATCAAAGAGAGAATGGGGCTAAGGTTATCTTCAGATCAAGAGCCTGTGATGTTGAATGGTTGATAATTTGAACAAATATTCATGACTTTTCAGTACGGAGAAAGAATAAAAGGAGACTAAACATGAAGATATAATCAAAGAAAATTTCTAATCTCCTAACTAGGAAAATGAAGTCAGCAAAAAACAAAGAAATTCTATATGGACCAACAAACAAAACGTAAAGGAAATATAGTATATTGAGAAATAACTAACCTTTATCCTGAATATTCTGAAAACTCAACAGATTTCAAATTAAATCCAAAACCCTTTACAAAGTTGAACTTTTCCTCCATGTCATTCATAGCACCGTCATGCCTGGGCATAACAGACTTCACGAACTTGAACTCGCTGGTCCCTAAACCTTCCCTCAGACACACCTCATACTGGTGACTCTGGGACAAGGTCCTGGTGCCACTGATGTCCCCCAAGTGGCCCGGAAAGCGGTCCTCAGGCACCCAGCAGCGACCCCCCGAGGCCGCCCTGTCCCTCCTGCACAGCCGCACCGCCACGAACAGCAGCACCGAGAAGAGGAAGAGCGAGGACACCGACGCCAAGGCGAGACCAGGTAGACGGTGAGCGAGTCGGCCTGGGCCTGGTCCGGGGCCGCTTCCGGGAGCGGCAGGTAGGGCTGGGAGAAGCCATCCACCAGGAGCACGTGCAGCGTGACGCTGGCAGACAGCGGACGCTCGCCATTGTCCTTCACCAGCACCAGCAGCCTGTGCTTGGCCGCGTCGCGCTCGCTCAGCGGCCTGGCGGTGCGCACCTCGCCGTTGTGCGCCCACACGGCGAACAGCCCGGGCTCCGTGGCCTTGAGCAGCTGGAACGACAGCCAGGCGTTCTGGCCCGAGTCGCCGTCCACCGCCACCACCTTGGTCACCAGGTAGCCGGCCTCGGCCGCCCTGGGCACCAGCTCGGTGCAGGGCGCAGAGCCGTTCTGCAGCGGGTACAGCACGAAGGGCGAGTTGTCGTTGTCGTCCACCACCACCACGCGCACCAGCGCCTCGCTGCTCAGCGCGGGGGCGCCTCGGTCTGTGGCGCCCAGCGGAACTCGAACGCCCGCAGGGCCTCGTAGTCCAGCGACCTCAGGGCGAACAGGTGCCCGTTGTCCGCGTTGATGGAGACCAGGGAGGCGAGGGGCAGGTGCGGGTCCTGGGGCGGCAGCAGCGAGTAGGTGACCTGGGCGTTGGTGCCTGAGTCCCTGTCTGTGGCGCTGACGCTGCCGATGTGCAGGGCGGGGCTGTTGTTCTCTGGGACCAACAGGGTGTAGGAGGTTTGAGTGAAGGCGGGGGCGTTGTCATTGACGTCGGAGACCAGCACGGTTATGTTTTGCTCGGTTTTCAGCCTCGGGGTCCCCAAGTCAGTGACCGTGATCGTGATGTTATACTCGGCTCTAATCTCTCTGTCCAGCTCTCCCTTTGTTACCAGCCTGTAGAAATTCTCAACGGAAGGTTTCAGCACGAACGGAAGATCATCCTGAATTGAGCAAACCATCTTTCCGTTTTCCCCGGAATCTCGATCTTGAATACTGAAAAGAGCTACCGTGAGCTCAGGAGAATTTTCGGGGATGTGGTTTAGGACTGAAACCATGGTCAGTTCTGGGACATTATCATTGATATCCACCACCTGTATTATGACAGTGCATTTTCCAGAAAGACCTGTCCCATCAGAGGCTTTAATATCCATCTCATATGACTCAATTTTTTCAAAATCTAATTTTCTAATTATTTTAATTTCTCCCGTTAGTTCATTAAGTGCAAATGTCTTGACGATCTCTTCATCACTATAAAAAAATGAGTAAAATATTTCACCATTTATTCCCGTGTCTAAATCTCTAGCAGAAACAGTGGCAACAAGGGATTCAAGGGGACTATTTTCTGAGATCTGCACTTGATAGAGTGGCTGTGCAAACTCAGGGGCGTTGTCATTGATGTCCAAGATATCAATGAGGACCAGGGCGGTCCCACTTTTGGGAGGAGCTCCGCCATCTACTGCCATGAGAGTTAACCTGAGCTCAGTCTGCTCCTCTCGGTCTAGGGATTTGTCCAGAACCAACTCCGGGTATTTCCTGCCCTCACTACCGTTGTGGGTGAGAACATGGAAATGGGAGGTGGGGTAGATGGTGTAGTTTTGAATGTTATTAATGCCGACATCCAAGTCTTGTGCATTTTTTAGGGGAAACACAGTTCCTGGAGGAGTATTTTCCATGATTTTCAAAATCATTTCTGCTTCTGGGAACACGGGGGAATTGTCATTTATGTCACTAACCAAAAGTTTAAACTTATATACCTCCAAAGGTTCTTCCAGCAACACCTGGAAATGCAGCACACAAGGCTCAGCAGAGCCACATAGTTCTTCCCGATCCAGTTTTTCATTTACTTGCAGATCTCCGGTATGAAGGTTTAGCTGAAAATGGTTTTTGTCATTGTTAAAAATTACCCGAGCCCTCCGCCAGGACATCTCTCTTACCCCTAGCCCTAGATCCTTTGCTAGATTGGCCACAAAAGAACCGCTCTCTGTTTCTTCTGTTACAGTATAACCTCTCCGCTCCGCCCAAGTCTGAGACAGCATAACAAAGAGAAGCAGAACTTGCCTTGGTCTAGGAAAGCGCTCCTTTTCAGCCTCCATTTCTCCAACACCAAAAGCCATTAAGATCTGGATGTCTGTTCTGGGTCTGTAGAGAATCTTTGGAAATCAATCCTTGCCGCAACGCAATTTTCAATTAAGAAAGCCTCTTCTCTTTGGTGGATTTCATTATGGCTGCCAGAATAGTAACCAGAACAGTAACCAGGCGCAAGTCCCTTTTTCAGCAGCCTTAGCTTATAGCGCCACCACGCGTTGTACTTGAACCTGGTTTACTAAATATCGAACAAAACATGTATTCTTACTTAGATTTATGCAAATAAAACAAAACACAACACCACGGATTATATATATGGGGAGGTTTATAAATTAAAATGGTAACTTCTAGTTTTCTGTGAGATTATGAATGTGGAAATGATGCCAGACACTTTGGGAAATTATGCGAATGCAAAGTTAACTATATTTATTCATTTATTCAACAAATACTTATTGATTTCATATTATACATCAGGCACTGCACTAAGTGCTGGGAACAAAAATACCTTCTCTGACCTCATGGAACTTACGATATGATATCAACTATATTGCACAGTAAGTGCTTCAGGAAAATTGAGTAGAAAAAGGTATGTAGTTATCAGTCTATTAAAGAAAGAATATACACCATGAAACTCTTAACTCACTGCTAGCACAGTAGATAAAGAGATTCATTCCCATGTTTCATGAGTACAAACTTAAGTAATAGACCAGCTAGAACTAGTTTATTATGCAAACTAAATAGATAAGTTTAGGGAGTTGTGAATAACTTATTTGTAAATACTGTCTAAGAACTTTTCTAAATTTGTTATATTGATTTGTTACATTATCTAAAATAATTTGTAAAGAGCATCTACATCTATTACTAAAACTAAGATCCACACACATAGAAGCTGAGATTTACTGAGATCTTGAAGAAGAAATAGCCAAAGATAAAGGCCAAAGTTAAAATAAAAAGTAAAGTGCAGGTGAAAATAAGTTATATCCATTTGAAACAGCAGATTAATTTACAACTAGGAAAGATCTCAACTCATTTTTAGTGAGCAACTCATATATCTCTTATGGACATCTTGGGATCCGGGTATCCTAGTATGGAATTGAAATTCTCCTACTTTTAAAGAGGAGGAATACATCTTGGAGGAAGAGATCTGGAGTCTTCCCAATGACACCAATTTTAGCCGATGTTTTTATAACAATGTTTAAATAATATATATTATCATATATTCTGGCATTCTAATTACCTGACTAACTGGAAAAACAGCTTGGGCCAAGTGTAAGAATTATATTTCATATTGGTTTAATTCTATTAAGGTAACAATTACTCAAATCAACATCCTATTTTAGAATATTTTCTTCTCCACAGTGAAATAAATTTGATTAATAAACTTTCAATATATGATAACATGTTTCTCACATTTAAAAATTTGATGAACAATTTTCTTGTAGAAAGGATATTGGTCATGGATCCAAATTCTTTATTGTGGAATTAATTGTCCAAGAAAATGTGCCTTGAATGTCCATGCATTTTAAAATATTAATGAGATAGAAACCAGTACCTATGTCAGTAAGCTAATGGATCAAAGTTAGTTTTTCATTCTCATCTTTTATCTCTCATACAAATTTTATCCTTTTTAAGATCTAAACTCCTAGGCTTGACAGGAACTTAGAATTTTCTCATGAGGCTTTCTAGTAATAGAGTATGTGTCAATCAAATAATGTTTATTACTAAAACTAAAATCACAAATCAGTCCACATGATATATAAATTAGGATTATTTATAGAGCCAGATGATTTTACATTAAACAATAAATTAATTCTGTTCTCACTGAACTCAGCAAATAATTTTTAAAAGAAAGAGTCTGCTAAGGAGGCTATGATGATCCTGAGAATAGGTACAGACACCCCAAAACATAATAATTTCAGTGTTACTTTAAAAAAATAATCCTGGGATAAATAATATAATAGAGGGAAACTCGTGTTAACAAGACATTTCATAAAACCCTTTGGGGCATTTATTTGTTGAAAGAACTCATAAATTACTTACAAATTTAAATTTTGTTACATAAGCCTCTAATGTAGATTAGTTATCTCTAAGCTTATACATCTTGTATTTCATTCATTAAGTTAATATTGGAAACATGCAATATAAGACCAGGATTAGAAGGTATAGAGGCTAATTGAGTACTCAAGGTTGTACATATCTTTCAAGTCTCTTTTGATTACAAGAAATTCCCCTTCAAGACAGATTAAATAAAAAAATTTTATTTTTCAACACATGAACTTTGGGAGAAGAAAAAAAGAAATTTTACTATTAAGAAACCCTGTAGTCTTACTGTAGAACCCAAGGGCAATTAGACATTGGGTAGTTAGGAGGAACTGGAATCAGGAACCGACAGGTCTAGAACCGAGTAGCTATCTTAGTCTCTACTGTTTTCTAGGCTTCTGCCTCCTCCACTCTCTATTCCTTCTCACATTTACTCTTTCCTTCTGGTCCTCTCTCCCTCCTTTCCTTTCTATCTAGAAGCCATTCACTGCTTCCAGACTATACAGATATAAACATGGCTACCTCAGCTCATGCTTAACATTTATTCAAGAGGAAAAAATAGATGAACTACAGTATTTTAATCACAAACTTAGGTGGTTGGATAATGTGGTTATTACAGCTTTAATCAGGAGTCTAACGCTGGATCAATAAAAATGGCTAAGAAAGGCAAAAAAAAAAGTGGAATAAATATCTCAGTAATGATCAGCTCTCTTGGGTAGTACAGAGAAGTCCTCAGACAACAAAAGAACATGGGTTGGATATTTGTGTGTATGTGTGTGTGTGTGTGTGTATCTTAAATCCAAAGATGATTTTGAATTTATTTTAATAAAACAACATCTTCACAAATATTTATGAAGAAAAATACCTAAGTGCAGAAAAAAATTCTCCGCAATATTTGTCAGGAAAGTAGAATGGAAAGATTGATTATACTTTTTTAGAAAAACCTAAATTAGATAAGATTTAAACACCAACCTAATCAGATAACAAGCAATTATGTTTTCATTCATATCATGCATTTCCCTCTATAATAATACTGTCAACCATATAAAAATGTTTTGGTGAGAGGATCCACAGGCAGAAAACTGAGAAAATATGAATGAGCCCAGTGTGCAATTAAATTTGATGGGAAAATGATGGATAAGCCAATACATGATTTGAGGTTGCATTTTGGAACAAAGACTAAGCAAATCCCTGCTCCTTTAATTTTTTCACAGTTAATATAAAGAATAGGAGAAAATAGATAAAAATTTTTGAACTTTCTGAAAACTCTTAAGTTAAATGAAGTTACCCAAAATGAAGAACTATACATGACAATGAATACAATTTGAAAGAAATTTACACTCATTCTAAAAGTTCCGCATCATAATCAGATCCTTAATTGAACTCAACCAGTTCAGAAAGGTGGGGCTTTCTCCGCTTCATTGCCCTGGGGCGGGAGGTTGAAGATAACCGGCTTCAGGAACTTAAACTCGCTGGCCTCCGAGCCTCCAGTCAAACAAACCTCATACTGGTAGCTCTGAGACAGGGTCTCCGTGCCGCTTAGATCTACCAGGTGGCCAGGAAAGCGGCCCTCAGGCACCGAGCAGCGACCCCCCGAGGCCGCCCTGTCCCTCCTGCACAGCCGCACCGCCACGAACAGCAGCACCGAGAAGAGGAAGAGCGAGGACACCGAGGCCAAGGCGATGACCAAGTAGACGGTGAGCGAGTCGGCCTGGGCCTGGTCCGGGGCCGCTTCCGGGAGCGGCAGGTAGGGCTGGGAGAAGCCATCCACCAGGAGCACGTGCAGCGTGACGCTGGCAGACAGCGGACGCTCGCCATTGTCCTTCACCAGCACCAGCAGCCTGTGCTTGGCCGCGTCGCGCTCGCTCAGCGGCCTGGCGGTGCGCACCTCGCCGTTGTGCGCCCACACGGCGAACAGCCCGGGCTCCGTGGCCTTGAGCAGCTGGAACGACAGCCAGGCGTTCTGGCCCGAGTCGCCGTCCACCGCCACCACCTTGGTCACCAGGTAGCCGGCCTCGGCCGCCCTGGGCACCAGCTCGGTGCAGGGCGCGGAGCCGTTCTGCAGCGGGTACAGCACGAAGGGCGAGTTGTCGTTGTCGTCCACCACCACCACGCGCACCAGCGCCTCGCTGCTCAGCGCGGGGGCGCCTCGGTCTGTAGCGCCCACGCGGAACTCGAACGCCCGCAGGGCCTCGTAGTCCAGCGACCTCAGGGCGAACAGCTGTCCGTTGTCCGCGTTGATGGAGACCAGGGAGGCGAGGGGCAGGTGCGGGTCCTGGGGCGGCAGCAGCGAGTAGGTGACCTGGGCGTTGGTGCCTGAGTCCCTGTCTGTGGCGCTGACGCTGCCGATGTGCAGGGCGGGGCTGTTGTTCTCTGGGACGAACAGGGTGTAGGAGGTTTGGGTGAACGTGGGTGTGTTATCATTAACATCAGAGACCAGCACGGTTATGTTTAGCTCCGTTTTCAGCCTAGGCGTCCCCAAATCGGTGACAGCGATGGTGATGTTATATTCGGTTCTCATCTCTCTGTCCATTGGGCGCTCTGTTGTCAGGGTGTAGAAATTCTTGAAAGTAGGCTTTAAGAGAAAGGGGAGGTTGTCCTGAATTGAGCAAACCATTCTCCCGTTGTCTCCAGTGTCTTGATCTCTTACGCTGAAAACAGCGACCACCACCTCAGGTGATGAGTTTTCCGGTATGGGGCTGGTAAGAGATGTCATGGCTATTTCTGGTGGGTTGTCATTCACATCTACAACCCGAACTAAAATGGTTGATTTTCCAGAAAGGCTCCCACTGTCAATGGCCTGAATATTTATGATATAAGATGGAATTATCTCAAAATCTAGAAGTGCTTTTAAATGGACTTCACCAGAAATTGGATGGATTTCAAATGTTTTCCTCACGTCTCTGGAGACGTGGGAAAATGAATAAGATATTTCTCCATATGATCCTGCATCTAAATCTGTAGCGGACACCTGAATGATCAAGGAATCCACAGGGCTGTTCTCTGGTACCTGAACCTCGTAGACCGGCTTCTCAAATTTGGGTGCGTTGTCATTGATATCCAGGACCACAACGCGAATCAGTGTGGTCCCGGACCTGGGCGGAGACCCGCCATCCAAGGCTGTCAGCGTTAAACTAAGCTCAGGCTGCTTTTCTCGATCCAGAGATTGGTCCAGTACCAGCTCTGGGTATTTTCCGCCCTCATCACTGTCTTGTAATTTAAGGTGGAAATGGGAATTGGGGCTTATTGTATAGTTTTGGACACTATTCTTTCCTACATCCAAGTCCTGAGCACTATCCATTTGGAATGAAGTTCCTGGAGTAGCACCTTCTGAGATTTTTAGAAGTACATGTTTATCTAGGAACGTGGGAGTGTGATCATTTATGTCTTTGACTGAAAGCTCAGCCCGAAAAAATTGCAGAGGATTTTCAAATAATACCTGGAAATGCAACATACATGGCTCGGTGAGATGGCAAAGTGACTCCCGGTCGAGTTGCTCATTTAAGACCAAGTTGCCAGTCTGCTGATCCAACCGCAAATATGGTTTATAGTCGTCAAAGATAACTCTGGCCCCCCGTGCAGCCAGGTCTTCTATATCCAAACCCATGTCTTTCACCACGTTGGCTATAAAGGTGCCAATCTCTGTTTCCTCTTCCACAGAATATCTCCAAGTCTCAGAACACACCAAAGACCCACCCAGGAAAACAAAGAAAAGCAGCACTTGCCTTATCTGCTGAGCTCTTCCCTCTCCCGGCTCCATGACTCCTTAGCCAAATGTCTTTCTGCAGAAACGTTTCCACTCAGTCTCTAGCAGCTCTGGGAGTTGCACCTCTTATCTATCAGCTTGGACCTCTGGGAGTCTATAAATTTGTAATCCTGTTGCAAGGGTGTTCTTGGTGCCCTACGTTTTTGTTGAAAGCCTCTTTTCTCCTGTTTTTCCAGCGCTCTCAGTTCCACTGGTTAAAGGAAACCAGAGCATATACTGTTACAAAAGTCCCCCATCTTATCCTGCAGCGCCACCATGCGACTCTGAAGATTTTCAGGATTGAGACAAAATATTAATTTATCTTGTGTGTTCGTTGGTAAACGTAAATTGTATTTTCTCCTCCTATGTGTATTTTCTTTTCCGAGTTGCATTTTGAGACAGAATATTAACTTATTTTGTGTGTTTGTTGATAAATTTAAATATTTTCTCCTCATATATGCCTCTTTTTTTTTATTTCAGCATAATACGGGGATACAAATGTTTAGTTGCATTTTTGTGTGTGTGTGATATGTGATGCTATTACCATTCAGTCATTAACCACAATCTCCTAGAGCTATAGTGGATGTAAAAAGCATGTTTAACATATAGTCCCTGTCTCAAATAAATTGTGAACTCTCTGTGAAGCCAATATATAAAACAACTAAAGATTGTTAAGTGTACTCTTGCATGTAAGCAATAGGTTTTTAGGAGAATTGGAGATGTGAACTAGAAGTCTTAGCTCTAACTATCAGCAAATACTCTTAGAAAAGATAAGAATGAGATTATGTACTTGAAACTGAAGCTGGTAGATGCAAATAGTTGTTTTGGGAAGGTTGGACATTTCAGGCTGGATAAATCATACCATTTATTTAGGAATACTCAGTAGGAGATTTACCTAGCAGGAATAGAAAATAAATTCTCAGTAGTAGTGAATAAAGTAAAATAAGTATAGTTTCTGACAACATAAAAAAAAGTTAAACAAACTAGACTCCACCTTAGTTTTGAAACTGCATTCACCATTTTGCAGACCTAGGCTTTCCAGAGGCACAGTTCTAAATATTTTATTTATCTATTTATTAATTAGTTCAGCAACTATTTATTGAGAACACACTTTGTTCTAGGAATGGTGATTAGTATTAGGGATAGAATGGTAAACAGAAAGACATAGTTCCTGCCATAAAAGAGAAAGACAGAAAAATGATCACGCATTTAAAATAGAGCATAATGAATGCTATGGTAGGGAAAGTACATGCTACTATAAGAGCATGGATGAGGATCATCTAATAAGAATTTGGAAGTACAGGACAAAGTTTTCTGGAGAAAGTATATTTTAAATTGATACATGAAAAATGAGTAGGAGCAATCCAAACCAAATTTGGGCATGAAATAAAATTTTTCAGGCAAACTAAAAACATGATTGCACAAATCCTAAATGAGAGAAGTGTTTTAGAGGAACTTAAATAAGATCAATATGGCTGAGACATAGAGCTAGAGGAGAGAAATGGTAAGTGTTAAAATTGGAAAGATAAGCAAATATTTTGTAAGCCATGCCAAGGCATTCAGACTTTACACCAGTAGAAATGCGAGATTGTGAAAGGGTTCTAAATAGAAACATGACATGATCATGTTTTTATTTTTTCAAAAGATCATCCTGTTTCAGAGTTGAGAAAAATTAGACAGGAGTAAGATTAATGGCCATAGACTGATTAGAAATGATTGCAGTAACATAGGTAAGAGATGATATTGGCTTCTACTAGAAATGCAGTAATGGGGTTGTAGTAGAATGATAAAATAATAAAGGATGTGGTTATAGAGTAGGCAGAGAATAGAGGGAATGGGACAAGAAGGAATAAAAGTAAATGTACTTTGTTTTCAGGCTTAAGCAACTGAGTGCGTGTTAATGCTATTAACTGATAGAGTAAACACAGGATGAGGAGAAGGGAGAGGAACAGATACGGACCTGGAGAAGATATGTTTAGTTTTTGAGGAAGAAAAAATTGTCACAAAACATGTTGAGTTAGCATACATATAGATAGTTATATAAAGTATCTTCTATTACATAAATGAAGTTGAGGAAAGAGGTTTGGTCTGTAGAGACACATTTGGGATTTATTGATATAAATGATGGTTGAAGCCCTTCAAGAAAAGACAGTAAATCATAGATTTAAAAAAGTATGTTTGAATTTGTGATTTCAGAGATGATGCGCTCTCAGAAACTGCCATTTCCTGAGAGTATCCATAGTCACAAGTGACTAGACTAGAGGAGATGTGAATGTCATTAGAGAGGAAAAGGGCTAGAAACAGAGATAGGTCAAACTCCTGGACACAGAATTGTAGCAAGGAATGGGCAAAGAGGAAAATTTTAAGAAGTTATATTTGAGAGATAAAAGGTCTTTATACCACTTCTTTCCTGTGATCTTGATTAATTTAATATTAGACTGATATCAAGTTGATTTTATTCTCCTATTTGGTGACTCTTAGACACTTTAGGTAAGAAAGGTTTACTAATTTCTTTAAGCACATTAAAGATATCTCACTTTCTATTATTAACATTTTCCATTACGGCTGTTGAGAAACATGGAGCATACCTGTCAGTCTAACTGTCAGGTGTTTGGGGTTAAATGTTTTTCCTATGGCTTTAAAAAAATTATCTTTGTCTTTGGTTTTCTGAAATTTTGCTATGATGTTTCTAGACATGAATATCTTTTTAATTTATCACGTTAGGTTTATTTAGATCTTTTAAATCTGTTTATCAATGGCTCATCAATTCTGGAAATTTTCTAATCATTGTTTCTTTAAATATTGCTCCTGATCTAATCTTTCTCATTTCTCTTTCTGTGATTCTGGTTAAATATATGTTAAATATATTTACTCATTCCTATGGTTCCAATTATCTCCCCTGTATTTTTTATTTTATTAACTTTCCAAACTGCATCTTGAATAAATTACATTGTAACCCATCTTTCACTTCACTAATTCTTGGTTTAGTTGTATCTAATTTTCTATTAAACATTTATTCAGTTTTAAATTTTGATTATCAAATTTTTCATTTCTAGGAGATCTGTTTTCTTCTTTTCTAATCTGTCAAATTTTATAG